TTTTATTATTGTAGATATTTTTTATAAAAATTATATTTTTTATAAAAATTATATTTTTCGTAAAACTTTTTTTGGGTTTTGTAAAATATTATGTGCAGGTATATGAGTTAGCGTGTTACCATATTAGGGCTTGAACTGCTAGTGCAAAATAGTTTTTACCACTTGAAATTATGCTGCAATAAAATCAAAATAGTTTTCTGCAAATTTCACTTTATCAAAAGCTTAGCCATTTTGATGTATTCGACTAGCCGGCAAACTATTTGAGAGTGGAGTTTAAAGATAAATTATATACTATTACGCGAACTATACCTAATTCGATTAACACGGTAATTTCTTTGTTATCGACCTGCTTCCTATTATCAAATTCACCTTCGGCATGTTGGACAATTTTAATCATTTGTTCGTCCATTTAAGAGATTCTTCTTCTTTAGAAATTTCCAAGTAAAAAATCTCGCTCTTGGGACTTTAGTATATCAGTATTTGGTTGTCTAAAAATTTGCGAAACTAAATAAAACGTTTGTTATCGCAGTGCCCCTTTTTAAAATCTCCACATTAACTATCATGTGTTGCAATATGTTCTTCTCCCTCTTCTATTACTTATAAATAATTTTTATCGCTTTCATTTTCATTCAACTTTTCAGCTTTTTGATGCATTCGACTGTCCGTATTTGCCAAAACTTACAACTTTTGGCGAGCAAACCCTGATATGTCATTGGGGCATCTGGTTTTGCGTTTATGCGTTCTAAATGAACAAAAATGGAAATCTTTATGCGTAAAATCTTACAAATATACAGTCTTAAGTCAAACCACTTGAGCACAGTTAAGGTTGAAAAAGAGTTTTTACGGCTTCTTCAAACAGCAGCCTCGTTTTTAGGCCATTTACACAGAGAGCATTTTTTTCAGGCCCTACAATTAAATGCTAAAGATGTAGTTTCCGCGGTGCGCTATAATAACCTAAAGTGTAGTAATTTGTGATTGATTCAGAAAAAAGTTTATTACCATTAAGACGTTAAATAAACATTTCCCTTAATGGTTTTATTACATCCGCCAAAAGTGAACTTCGTACGTCAAACTTCATATATATCAGAATAAATTAGTAAATCTTTCCTCTCAATATTTTATATATGCAACAATATAGAGTTTGCTTGATCGATTTAAGAAGACATGCAAATGTGTTTCAAATTTCGTTTGATACCTTTATTACCTGACCCACTACATAAATCTTTTTTTTTGTTTTTGTACACATTCGCACAACAGGTTGGCATGAAAATCTAATCTACTTACGCTCCATAGATAAATCACAATAAATTGTTAGTAAACCAACAAAGTAGATAAGCAGAGAAATTGATTAACCCATTAAGAGACAAATGAAAATTACTTTTTAATATTGTGTAAGAAGTAAAGAGGGAGTGTCACAAAACAAAACTGCCAAAACAATACGAAGATATCAACAAAGCGTTCCCAAGGGCATATGGTGCCTAAAATTATGCTACCGAAACAAAAGAAAAACAGCAGAAAAATTACCTTTGCTATAGCGTTGGCAATTAATCCGCCTACAATAATCACATTTTCAAAGGCCTTATATCTACATGTGTACTCTGCCTTTTGATATCAAATTCAATTTAAAATCATTAAACAATCTATAAAAACAACATATCAGGTCTTAAACTAATGTGCGAAAGATACAGATTACGACAATGGGTTAAAGAGAGCAGCATTGGCGTACTTCAGTCCATGCTAAACGAAACGGTTGATTTAATTGAATCGTGGTTGAGTAATTGAGTAATTGAGTACTTCGCATCTTCGCATTGAAAACAGTGAAAAAAAGCAAACGTGCAGTGATTCATTTGATGGGCTGGAAAATACCTAAACGAATTAAATGTTTGTGTACAAAGCTGTGAAATGTATAAAAGAAAATTAAACACCGTACAGCAAATTGTAAACAGAGCAACAAGCTTGGAAAACCGAAAGAAAATTTAGTGCAAACTTCATTTAAACGTCATAATGGTTTAGGCGTAGTTAAAAAACACAAGAACAAATACTCAGCTGTTTTGTCATGTTTTTTTATCAAGGTGACCAGTAGTAAAATTTATTGTGATAGTTCCGCATTGTCTTCTCTCCTTTTTTGCCTTGTGAAAAAAAAAGAAAATTGTAAATAAAGGAGGCTCATGACTAAAAGATAAAAAGTTCTTAGTTTTTCTGATCGCTCAAACATGTCTACATTTTCTTCGATTTTATCCTTATGTTTCATAACATATTACAGTACTTTTTGTTTAATATCTTCATATTAACTACTTTAAAGTCTTTCAAATCAATACACCTAAGAGCTTGACGGGAAGCTTATTAAATTTATATAGTCGTCATTTTTGCTAATCATTAATTTTCATGCTTCATATTCAACAGCAATTTAATGCTGGTCGGGCAAATTTTTTATGGAATTATATTTTGTTTAACACTTACCCAAATCTGCTAGCTGATGGTCTGAAATAATGGGGTTTTAAAAATTCATCATTTGCCGTTGAAAGGAATAGTTTTGAAAAAACAGGTATATGCCAGATAAGCTTATACCTGACAATGCAAACTCAGTGGAATGTTGTTGTGCTACGAAGCCTTCAAACTTTTTTATTAAAATTCATTTTGCTTAAGTACTTAACCCGTATTTTCAGGTAGACTTTCACGTAGATGTCTCCACTTTGGCCCAATGAAAATGACCTTAATATCAAAACTGCTTCCATACAGTATAAAGCCTATTAAATTAATGGGATTTTTCGATATAAAATTGCAAAAGAGTTTTAAAAGTGAATATTTCTCTGAGTGCGAGAGCGACGAATAAAACAAAAATAAGCAAATGATCCGAGGCCCCACTAAAATATTTTATAAATTGCAAGATACTTCCGGTAAAATTTCGTATCAAATTTTTGCTAGCAATATTTGTTGGCGGTAATATTTTTCTTAAACTATTCTAAACGGACAGCAGTTAAGTTTAAACTCAATCAATAGATATAAATCAAATGATTCTCTTGGCACAATAAACTGATGTTGGAATATAAAATTCCGTGTTAAGGAACCAAATGTTTATGAATAAAAAGTTTGTCGTCATAATTAAGTGACTACTCAGTTAAATAAAAAGTACTGTTTTTGAAAGTTGCGTAAAGATGAATTGTAAAATATTTGTGTATAAACATTTTACTAAACTTATATTTTCTCTGATTTAATTTGGTTTCGTTTTTTTTTTTTTTTTTTTTTTTTGTGTATAAAATGCTTGGAATTTTTTGTTCTGTTTATCTTTGCTGTGCTTTGTTTTTTTGTCATCATTATTGTTATCGGCGTTATATCTTGTTCTCTCACGTTTACAATAAAAGTACTTTTTTTTCTTTTCCATTTCGTTCCGCTCGATGTTCTTTACGCAAAACATGAACATCAACCAACTGAAACGTAATGTAAGTATTGAATGGGAAAAATGTGTACATAATACTTGGTCGAAATAGTTTACTTACACTATTATTTTGAAATGATCGTTAAGCGAACATTTTGAAATATTTCTTTTTATCTGGGGAGTAATCACGTTTGAAAAATATTGCTTTTTAACAAAAACAGCTGAGCTACGTGATTATCCCTCGGGCTTTTAAATTGTTTAAAGCATGTCTTAAGGATTAACTTAGAATGTCATTTGTAAGGGAATGTTTAATCGTATACATTGTAATTTATATTCATATATGAAAAATATGTTAGAAATAAGAAGAAAAGTGGAACATACCGATGAGTCCTGATTATTAATCTTTTCAAAGAAACAGGGTCTGATCGGAAATATATTCTGAAGTTTGGGATTTTTTTTTCTTTTCATAATCCTAGTTACAATTGAAGTAAAAACTATTTTAAGACTATGAAAATGTACATGTATATATTAAAGATAAAAAAACGTGAACATCATTTGTTACGTTTTCTGGATTAGATTGTTCATAAGCAATAATGTACGATGAACTTCTTCATCAATTTAGTTGCCAATTAACCAAAGCTACCAACGATGTTGTGGTATAATGATCATTTTGAACAAACGCAAGAGGAATTTTCTGAGTCACTGTACTAGCATTCTCGGTGCATATGAGTTTTTGAAATATAAATTAAACTACTTTCTAAATATAATGTCCGCATTAATATGGGTCAGGAGGATAATATTTCTATATTACTTAATATGAATTACATCAGAGTTAAATTCATATTATAAAACTGGTTCAGACGTCGACAGTGTTTAATAATAATATGAACATTATGTAATACATAACATGTTCCTGTGATGTTTTCCCCTTCTAAAGATCAGACCATGTAAATTCACGAATATTTTTGCTTTCAAAATTGGAAATTTTTCATTTTCTTTTAACGAGCACATTAACTCGGCTTTCTAATACTTGCCTTTCTAATCGAGCTTCAAGTCCAATACCATACTGTACATTAAATCTTAATTAATTTTCTTATAAAAAATGATTGCAGACATGGTCAGTTCCTAGCGAGGGTACCTGATATGAGCCAGTCAGCCAAGTATACATGAAACAGTGTGAAGCGTCTGCTTTGTTTTAAATTTTTTTCACTACACCTTAAGTACTGAGTTTTCCGATATTGGGCGTTTCGGTTTTCCACGACATAATCCGAATAAATGAACATGCCTTAAGAAACAAATGAAAAACGAATGCACGAACTGATTATTATCAATAATTTTATTTTTTTTGTTTGTACGGGGTAAACGTTTTGGTATAAATAGTGCAGTATGAGTAAATTCGAGTTGGGCTCTCACCAATAATGGCTAAGGTAAACCAATTATGCCTACTCAGCAAATCCGCCCTTTTTTCAGACTATCCTTAGTTAAGTTTAATCCCTTACATTATGGATCACATCTTATGCAAATTTTTGGAAAGAAATTTTGTTTTTTTTAGATTTTAATAAAATTTTCTAAAATAAACTAGGTCAGTAATGGTTCTCATTATTTTCTTTTTTAACAATTCCAGCATTTTCGTTGATTGTCATGGTTTTTATCGGTTATTGCATTTTCTATGCCTTAGCACTGGTATTATTGAATAGAGATATCGTAACGACAACGGGGATGTTATATCCGCGTGAATCTGAAACTAGAGAAGTGAGATCCTTAGATGGTCTGTGGAATTTTGTCAAATCGGACATAACGAATCCTACGCAAGGCATGCGAGATAAATGGTATTTGGACGATCTAAGTCGTGTCCGCAAAACGATACCGATGCCAGTCCCTGCTAGTTATAATGATATCACGACAGAACATGCAATAAGGGATCACGTAGGCACTGTATGGTATGATCGAAAGTTCTTCGTACCTATGTCATGGTCAAAAAATCAAAGAGTGTGGCTGCGATTTGGTAGCGTACATTATGAAGCCTTTGTGGTGAGTATCAAAACGCCAAAAGAATTCTATACATTGTAATGTACGTACGTGCGTTTTAGTATGTAAATGGCGAAATGGTGGTACGTCACGAAATGGGGCATTTACCTTTCGAAGCAGAGATTAGCCAATATGTGAAGTATGGTCAGGAGAATCGTATAACCGTTATGTGTGATAATGCCTTAATACAAACAACAATACCTCAGGGAAAAATAACCGAGTTAGCCAGGTGAGGATAATCGTAGATTTTGGTCGAAGCTTCCTAGAATGACTTTTTTCTTTTTTTTGCAGAGATGATGGAGTGTCCATAGTACAAACTTATACTTTCGATTTCTTCAATTATGCCGGCATACATCGTTCGGTACATTTGTACACCACACCTTCGACTTACATCGAGGAAATTGACTTTACCACAGATCTATCAAAGAACAACACAGGTAAATATTTTACTTAATTTTTTAAAAATTGTTTGGCTTCATATTCACAGTTACAATTTACCTTATTTTAGTAGGTTTCGTTACCCTAGCCAAAGTAAAAATCGGCGGTTCTGTCGATAATGAAGCTGCCAGCAATGATTTACACATACGCGTTCAATTACTTAATAAAGAGGGTATTGTAGTGGCCAATACGACATCTAAGTCAGACATGACGGCAATTTTAGAAATAAAAAACGTTAAACCTTGGTGGCCTTATCTGATGCATCATGAACCTGGTTATCTATATGAAATGGAAATATTTTTAATTGATAGCAACACGGAAGAATTACAAGATGTGTATCGCTGTAAAGTAGGAGTGCGAACTCTAAGCTGGAATAATAGCTCCTTTATGATCAATGGGAAACCGATATACTTTCGCGGATTTGGTAGACATGAGGATTCGGATGTATGTTAGGGACCATAACCTCAAAAAAAAGCAAAAGAGTGACAATTTCTTTTTACAGATAAGGGGCAAAGGTTTGGATCTGGCTTTAATGACGCGTGACTTCAATTTGCTAAAATGGGTAGGCGCCAATGCTTACCGCACGTCTCATTATCCCTATTCGGAAGAGTCTATGCAATTTGCCGATGAAAATGGTATTATGATTATAGATGAGTGTCCAAGTGTAGATACAGAGTAAGTGGAAATTGCCAAAAAGCAGTTAAGTTTAACCCAAATCTTCATTAGAGATCCAAAGAAGAAGAATAGATGTGGCTTATTGATTTTAACACATTTCTACTGGTCCGACTGTCCGCCTGTTGGTATTGAAACACCTTTGGCCACGTGGAAAGGAAACTGACTTCTGTAGTCTTAGAGCCGCAATAGGGACTGGTTACCAATCACAAGAGAAGACCGTGTTTGTCCTTGTCATAGCTTTTGTACCTTTGCGTTGAATTTGTTATTCCGGTACAATATTCACATAGCAACCTTATCCGCACCTAAAACACAAACAAAAAAAAAACTCGTGACTTGTGACGCCCGTGTGATATTGCTCGGAAGAAGGCTCCTAGCTCAAGACTATATTTCAACTGTATAAACGGCCAAAATACACTTATACTATAAATATACTTACATACACACAACTTAAAAGATAAAGTTGGTAAATGTCAAATTTTAATCCGTACGGGATGGTTCAACTAATATTTTCCCTGTAAATCTTACTTACCCGAAGATCTCAAGGCGAGTGCAATTTTCTTACTTATCCTTCATATGTTTGCAGAAACTATAACCAAGCTTTGCTAGAAAAACATAAATCCGCGATGGAACAGCTAATACATCGGGATCGTAACCATGCCAGTGTAGTCATGTGGTCTATAGCAAATGAGCCACGTACCGGTCAATTGAATGCTGGATCATATTTTCAGTAAGTTCTCGAAATTTTAAGATTTTAGAAATAAATCTCAATTTTTATATGCTCGCATTGCTTAAAGGTACGTAGCGAACTACACAAGACAATTAGACAATACCAGACCAGTAACTGCCGCCATAGCCGTGAACTCTGCCGATGATAAAGCTGTAAGGATTTATTTCTAGTGTAAACATAACTTCATGTACATATTAACTGGTTCCGTTTATTTCTTCTTAAAGGCCAGATATTTAGACATAATTAGTTTTAACCGTTACAATGGTTGGTATAGCAATCCTGGACGCTTAGATATGATTACCAAGCGCATAATAGACGAAGCTACCACTTGGCATGAAAAACATAATAAACCAGTAATCATGTCGGAATATGGAGCTGATACGGTCGAGGGTTTACATCTGGTAAAAAAATTTGGTTAATTAAATGCAAAAAGAGAAAAATTCTTAGCTTTTACTTTCGTAGCTGCCCTCCTATGTGTGGTCAGAGGAATACCAAACAGAACTATTTTCCCGCCATTTTAGAGCTTTCGATATCTTGCGTAAGAAATCCTGGTTTATCGGTGAATTCGTATGGAATTTTGCCGACTTTAAAACTGCGCAGAGTTAGTCATTGGCTTTTTAAATGCACATTACAACGTTTCTAATTTTCCAACGATTTCAGGTGTAACACGTGTGGGTGGTAATAAAAAAGGTGTATTTACACGCAGCCGCCAACCCAAAGCTGTGGCTCATCTCTTGCGGAAACGCTATTTTGCTTTGGGCCGCGAGGTGGATGAATGCACTTTGATACCTAGCGATTTATTTACTTACATTACCGATGGCAGTTCAACGCGTTCCAGTAAACATGATTCAACAGACTTGTAACTATTTATTTATAATTATTTAATTTAATATATTTTGTGATCACAAAACATTCTAAACACGAATGAATTTTGCATTGTCATATGTCATTTTTTATGGCTGAATTGAGATAAGAATTTTTTTTTTTTTTTTATATTAAGTAGAATTATATTTTATCCATACTTAAGTTAAACTAACTATAAATGCATGCGTGTACAGTAAAAAAATAGTAATAAATAAATTTTTTATACTTGTCTTTAAAGAAAACCGCATTTATAACATATCACATATTGTTTAATGTTTAAGCTCTTTGAATAAATAAGCTAAGCAAACAAATGTTCGTTCATATTACGCTTACTTACCTAAATGCGCCATTACCCAAACAATTACAGATAACGATCCGAAACTAAACAATGCTAAAACATGCGCAATCGCTAGCGTAAATTGCAACAAGGTTGGCATTTCGTTGCAAACATCACAAATTTCAAAAAGTAAAAAAGTTATATTCGGCGGGGACCGAGTCTCGCTTACACTTGCCTACACTATGTTTTGCGCATTCTACTTTCAAAGTTCTTTTATTTGATACCCATCTCTGTTATTATTAAGAAAAAATTAATCGCTGTGTCCGCCATAATCATTTTAGAATGAACCCATTTTTAGGCAAATAATTTATCTTCATTTCAAGAATGAAGAAAATAGTTTTTAACTTGCTGTCTTGTTTGCCTTATGATGCCTCGAAAAAGTAAAAAAAAAAAATAGAATGAATTTAATGACTTGTAACTTGATGTGGGCATGGCCGATTTTTTCCATTTGACGATGAAAAGAGTAGAGCGTTTCGTAAAGTAAATATGACAAATTTCAGCTTTTTAACTTTTATAATTTCTGAGTAAGAAGCAATAACCTACAAATTTTTGTTGAGAAAAACGAAATTGCGTTCCGTTTATGATCGACTGCGGACTTTGGCTCTGACCAATTTCGCCCATTTTCAATATCAAACTGCGCGCAAAAACTTCCAACGTTTCTACTAAATTACAAATCAATATAGTCATTTTTGCAGCCAGGGGACTGCCAATAAGAAACACCACACAAGTGGACAGACATGGCTTAATCAATTCAGAATTTTACGCTGATCAAAAATATTTATACTTTATAGAATCTTTGAAGCTTTCTTTTATGTGTCACATGCATTATAAAAAAAAAAAACAAATCGGGTATACGCCCATTCTTCAGTGCTGGGTATAATAAAGTCTTCAAAAACATACACCCGCTTAGAAAAATTCTTTTTGAATTTACATAAAACCACGGCTCGGCTATTAAACCTCAAATGTCTACATATGAAGTGAGGTGCGATCATTTGAAATCACATAACATCATCTTACAAATTATTTGAAAGAGTTTCTTAAACCGAAAGAATTTGTTCAAAATAAATAAAAATAGTTATAGCTATCGTAGCTGTGGAAAGCAATTAAGTATTTGGACTGCGTTTGGACGTGAATTACTTTCGCTGCCTCCTGTTCGTTTCTCCTGGGTAAAATATCCATTACTGCGTAAGACTTTGTACGTAATTGCATCACATCAAGTGGAATACATTTTACTTATATGTATGTAGAGCAGGTAAAGATGCTCTCCCTGCCATTCCAAAAACGTTTGCCCCATATATGTAACGTCGTGCTGCAATAAAAAATGGCTGCGTCACATAGATATTGGCAGCCAACGAGTTAATAACTAGTTAATAATTAGTGTACAACCGAGTTTATAAACACTTGCGACTTGTGCCGCCATTGGAAAAGAGAATCCCCCCTAGATCCATCACATATATGAAATTTGGGTACATTTTCAAACGGGGAGGAAAAAACCTTCTAGTCCTACCTGACTTTAATCCTATTAATTACTTTTGTTATTTTTTTTAGGATCTATAGTCTGATAGATTACGAGCCTTTAAAGTGTGAGAAAGTGAAGTAAGAGGAAAAGCAGCAAGCTTCGGCTGATTAACAGTTAGTTTCAAAACTTAAATTTATAAACGGACGTTTGTAAAAAAGAGCTAAAATCAATCGGTTGTAATAAACCAATATTAATATAAAAATCAATACGAAAATTATATCCGAATCTTTTATATCCGGCAGCGTTACCCGAAAAAGACAAAAAAGGTCAAACAATTTAAATTTTTATGCTCTACAGTATGGGCTGAGCGTAGCAAATTTTTTTTCATTTTCAAAATAAAATTTTACATCTTATAGGCAAGTAGGCGTTCTAGGCGTGCCCTTTGAAAAGTTTAAATCACTTCCAAATTCTTTTGCCAATTTGTAAGCGGTATCTTCATTTTCGCTAACGGTGGAATGTTTACCACGAATACTACACAGTTGGCTGGCGGACAGTTGAAAAGACGCACATGCTTAGGCGCATTAGAAATTTGAAACTGCCTAAGGATTTGTATGCCTTATGAGGGTTCTGCGCTTTAAAATCGTATTGAAAGAAAATTAAATTTGGATACATTATAATATTGGGTAAGCGTGGTCAATTTTTTCAAGTTTGTACATGTACTACACCATCGCTCATACAATACGCCCATTGAATTTTTTTACATTTATTTGCTATAGTTTGTGAGCAATGAACAAAAAACCAATTTTTTATTACTTTTGAGAAAAAGAGGTGTTTTCACATTACGTAATTTTTGCGGCCAGGGGAATGTTCACAACAGCATTGCACGAACGAATATAAAGACGGACAACCGGACACGTTTTGAATCGATTCACAATTTGATACTGATCAAGAATATGTATATATATTTTGTGGGGTCTCTAAAGATTCCTTCTTGGCGTTGTAGACATTTTTACTAAATTTAGATACCGCTCATCCTTCGGTGATGGGTATAATATAAGAATTATAAGGGAAATTGCAAAAAAAACTTATTTAATTAAAAACAGATGTGATTTGCTTTAATGAAGCAAATTAGCCCAAACATCTCTTGCTTATAACAGAAGACAAAATTGCAAAAAATTTAGTCAGTGAATAATATGTAAAAGAGCAACATAACCAATTTCTCATCACTAAGCATCACTAAGCACTCGGCTTTGGTTTGGTTCCTTATGCAGACGCAACATAACAATGTAACCTTTCTCTTTTTGAAATACGTTAAATTAAGATGACCAAATGTCCCAAATACACTACAATTATATAAATATATAGAAAATCGCTACGTATGGTCACCTTAACCGCAAGTATTGTGCAGACATTTTGAACGCTTTAAACATCAAGCCAAGCGAAAATATTGAAATTATTATTGAAAATATAACGGGGCAAGTTAATTTAACTAATTATTTAAATTAATATTTAAATTTTAAAATCTTCTTTCATTATCTTTCAGATACGTCGAAATTATTATGTGTCCAATAGTGGACGCGGTGACCATTGAGAAAGGTATTTGAACCAAGTTCAATGGAAGGTAATTAAGTTTTTACTCATATAATATGTATATAAACACTTCTTTTGTTGGTTTGTCTCATTTGTTCTTTTTAGTTCGTAGAGCAGTGTAGAGAGCCAATAGCAACAACGCGGACATTTTGAACAGCGGGAGCAAGTGTAAAGATTGTACGCGGATTCTATTTTATCAAGTTAAGAAAAAAGAAATAATATTTTTTCTTAAAAAGGGTCAGAGTTAAAATTTCTGAAGGAAAGGTTGTTGTAAAAAAAAAATAAATAAATAAATAAAAAAAAGAGAATAAAATTCTAAAAAGCATTTGAAAATAGGAAATAGTTAGTTTTAAGAAAACATCAAGACATTTTTCAAAACAAAGTCTAATGAGATACCATTTTGGAAAAAAAAGGAAAAAGAAAAATTCTCAACTTTTCAATTGAAGTTAAGTTTAATTTGAAAAATAATAAATAACATTTCTGTTTGAAGTTTAATTCGTGTTATCTATTAAATTTCTTTATATAGAAATGAACTGGAGACCAAGTAGAATGGTGGCAGCATAAGCGGTATTATAACCGGTCAGATGCCATAAAATCAACACAAAACGTCCGTCCGCTTTTTCCATCTTGAACTATCTGCTGTCCGCGATCCCTTAACAGTTTGTTCATTTAAACCTTTTTTTTTTTACTCTGCCTCCTTTTTTAACTGTCTAGTTAAGGAGCAGATTGTCGCACCACCCATTGACCGACAAACGAAGCCGGAATAGATGCGTGCTCTACTCGGTAGATATTGGCAAAAAAAATATTTACATCTGAAGTTGCAAGTTACCTAAGCCCCACAACAGCAGCAACAACGCTCGCATTTTGAACAGGGACAACAAGAGCAACAACAAACGCATGCGACGTAACAGGACCAGCATGTAGTTGTGCAGGAACAAGGTATTCAAACCGTTTTTTTTTAAAATTACCTAATCGCAATGAATTGTTTATACGTACATTAATTGTAATGAAACACTTATATAGAAATTTAATTGTAATGAAATAATTGTAATGACCCATGTATACCTGAATTAATTATAATGAAATTAAAGAAAAAGAAGAAGTAATTTCAAGACCTTTGGTATTATTTTATATTTAAAATAAATATTATTATTATTATTATAAATTTAGCCAGAGAATAAATTCTTACACTAAAGCCTTAAAAGCACTAGCGTCTAAGGCTTTCGGCTTTATTAAAATAAATAATTAAATAATATTATAAAATATATTCTTATTTCGACGAAAGATGAGATCCTAGATGGCTACATCGTGTTATACAATAATCCAAGCCTATATCTTTTATTGGGAATATGAAAAAAAACTATAACGTTTAGGTGTACCTTGTTTGCATGTATCCGGTATTTACAGTCAACCGGAAATGACCGATAAGCTTGCCTTGATAGTTGGGGATTTGGATTTAGTTAAACCAATACTTGTTAAAGATTTCAGTTATTTTTCAAATCGTTATGGCAGTTATGATGCTTTAGGCGCTTATATTTCTTACGAATTTCAACAGCTACCTTTCCCCGACCAATATGGCAATAGAGCGTAACACTGGCCAATATCAGACTTATTTCCTATTTTGGGATGAAGAGGAGAGTGTGCGTACAAATGGAACCTAAATGCTACAGGGGAGTTTGTGAACTTTGAAAACTTGCTAGATTTAATTCATACACTTTCGATGCCTTTCTAAAATAGCCAGAGTTTTATTTCTTTAAGCGCAAACTAAAGTATTTGTTGTATTAAACTAACAAGTTGTTGATAACTTCGTTGAAAGAAGAGGAGACCTGTAGGGAAGGTGAAAATCCATCTACCATCGTGAATATAACGAATTCTTGTTTGTCAAGCACTGGTTGCTGTAATATCGTGAAAACGTTTTTGTTCAAAGCCTACCAACGACGACTGCAGCACATGAGTTTTATAGCGCATCACTTGAGTCTGCACACAAACCACTCTATATGGTTTTTCGAAAATATTGCAGAGTTCAGTTTTAGTTCCCAAATAAATGGGCCTACCAAAGTCTATCATACACCGATATTCCACTAAATTGGTTTGTAATGGATACGTAGTCAAAACGATGCATCTGTGGGTATGTATTTGCTTAAGAGCTTGTGATATGCTTGTTCGGGAATTTTTAATACGATGTCCTTCGTGACATATCACTAAAGCGGGGCTGAGTTTAACTAATGCCTCTCAAATTTCATCCATTAAACGTTGATGGGAATCATCGAATTCGTTTTCTATTTAATAGAATATGTTTTTTGCTCTGCCACAATTCTTTGCTTCTTCCTGCTGCTAGTCAAAGACAAGGTATAGAGTAACACGTCTGTATTTGTAGAGTTTTGAAAAACAAATGTTTATCAGCTGGCGTTCTGCGTATGAAATTCAACGAAGTATTGTTAAAATATTTCTATTTAAAATCCGAGAGAAAGAGAGAGAAGTTCTATGTTCGGTTTAAACCGAATTTTTGTACACCAACACTTACCTCTGTTGAAAGCAAGCTTTCTACAACTTACTATAATCATATTTTTCGATAAATTTGGCATCCGTTGTGTAATTTTAAATTGCGAGGCGCAAATAATATCTTTCCAATCTAGTAAGGAACGATACGGTATTTGAAACAAAAATGTGATATGAAGACTTTTTCTCTCATATAGTGCAACCTACTTTATCAGGAAATATGAGTTTGCGGGCCGGACTTTTTAATCGACAGCATGGACACCACAAACGTTATCGTAAAAAAACTGATTAAATATAGCTAAGTACATAACACGGACAGAAATTGAAATATATGGGTCTAGACGTAAAGGGAATGTTTACCTTTGGCCTGTTATCTGCATACATATAGTTTTTTTAATCGTAAACGAACTCATTATTCGTTGCTTTTCATAGTCGAGTAAGGGCTTAACTTTAGCATGTTTTGTTTTTTTTTTTTGTTTGTTTTCTGAGATATACGGCCAGATTAAAGATAATTTATATAACATTAGTAGTTACAAGCGATAAAATTGAGTTTTAAGTCAACAATAGCTTAGACTGATTAAAGAAGAAATTTGACAAAAACTTCACAAGTCGGAAAAAAGAATGCAAAAATTAATGAAAAGCTTTTTTCTTCTTTTTTAGCCCATCTTAAATCAATATCCAAAAAAAAAAATAGAACAAGTATTCGAAGAAATAATGTGAATACAAGCGATAGAAGTAGGATGTTTTTCTTGCGAAGGTTTTTTATATCTTAAAATACACCTGCAGAAAGGTGTACCTACCAAACCAAATCAGTTAAAGGTTCAAGAATACCTACATAACTAACGCTGGACACCGAAGCTTACTTCTGCGCGTTACAAGCACATAACAAAGCTACTATACGCCTCGCAATTGATATGGTTTGCATATATAAAACATGCACAATAGCATAAATGTACTCAGTGAAGCAATGAAAGCACTTTTTGGAATGGAATATGCTAAAGAAGAATAAACAGTAGTATAAAAACCTCAGTAGTATAAAGGCGCGCTGTCTCTTTGCCTTTGAAAACGGAATAATGTTTAAGCTCTCAATACTCTATCTATTACTATTATTTTTATTAGCACAAAAAACATTTACCGAAAAACCTACAACAGACCAGCCGCGTAATGTTAAAAACACAAAAGGCCTTTTATATCCGCGAGAATCTGAAACGCGGGAAGTGCGTTCTCTGGATGGGTTGTGGAGTTTTGTTAAATCCGAAATAGAAAATCCTGAGCAAGGATTCAGAGAATTATGGTATAAGCAAGAGTTACATAAGGTAAGGGTCAAGTGAAACAATTATGTTTACATTAATTTTTAATCGATTTTCTAATAATTGGAAGATTATAGCTACAACGACTGTACCTGTACCGGCCAGTTATAATGATCTTTTTGTTGAGACAACGATGCGAGATCATATAGGGACTGTGTGGTATGAGCGTAAATTTTTTGTTAGCCGAAATTGGACTGTGGACAAACGAGTATGGCTTAGATTTGGAAGTGTGCACTATTCGGCGATAGTGGTGAGTTAAAAAACAATATGAATAATAAGGAAACAAGGACTTTGCGAGAATGATTTTGTTGGCTTTAATTTTAGTGGCTAAACGGCAAGGAGATAATACGTCATGAAATTGGCCATTTACCCTTTGAAGTGGAAGCCACCAGCTTTATCAAATTTGGTTCTGAAAATCGTGTCACAATTATGTGCGATAATCGTTTATTAGTTACAACAGTGCCGCAGGGAGAACTAGTACAACAACCTAGTGATAAAGGCAATCGTACGGTACAAACATATACTTTTGATTTTTACAACTATGCCGGCATACATCGTTCTGTACATTTATATACCACACCCTTGATATACATTGAGGACGTAAAAATAATAACCGACTTGTTGACCGAAAATCGAGGTATAATAAAGTATGAGATATTAATAGGAGGCCTCGAGGATGAAAGCAATGATGCGTTATTACCGGACACCGATTCGTTGTCCTTGCACTTACAATTACGCAATAAATCTGGAGATATTGTAGCTAATGAATTTTGCAAAACAATACCGTTTAGTGGCGCTATGCTTGTACCCGATATTCATCCCTGGTGGCCGTATTTAATGGATCCAGACTACGGTTATATGTATACTTTGGAAATTTATTTACATGCGGGTGGTAAGGATCTATTAGATGTTTATCGTTTGAAAGTAGGTATACGCTCATTGAAATGGAATAATTCGACGCTAATGATAAATGGACGTTCAATCTATTTAAGAGGTTTAGGCAAACATGAAGACTCTGATGTAAGTTCCGGTTCGATTTTAAAAGGATATACAACATTTGTAATCTTTCCTTTATTGGTTTTTAGTTCAAAGGAAAAGGTTTGGATTACGCACTGTTAACAAGAGATTTTAATCTGTTAAAGTGGTTAGGAGCTAATGCGTACCGTACCTCACATTATCCCTATTCCGAAGAGTCGATGCAAATGGCTGATGAGCACGGAATTATGATCATTGATGAGTGCTCAAGTGTAAATACAGAGTAAGTAAAAATAACTAAAATTTGAAGTTAAAGGTTTTTTTTTCTATTTGTTACGGATCAAATAATTAGCATAATTTACTATAGTATAAATCAGCAAAAAATGGGATTCCACCGTCTTAAACGAATGTATGCAAACAATGAAAATTGCATTTTGTTAATTACAGACGCGTACGTCCGCCTATCAAGGAAGGCTCTCTAGATGAGGCTTATAGATATTTGTAAAAAATTTTTCAATTTTTTTTTTTTGCAGACTGCTAGGAGAAGTAATTTAAAATTTTACTAGTCTATTTTTGACTAATTTTCTTAGTTTTGAATATAAGCAATAAGTGCCAGGTGCCACTTTCTAATTTTCATCGCTTACCTTAGGCATCTTTCAGGTAAGGTTGAGAGATAAACGATGCTAAATTGGCTCCAAATTTGCAGCTTGTCCTGAGAATATATGTGTTTGCGTCCGTACCCCCAGAGAGATGGAAAGTTTTTTTTCGGATAAAGATCTTGAAAGTTCTGTGCTTGCATATAACTTCTTTCCCTAGCATTGAATTATTTCTCAGATTCTCTGACATGTACTAAAGTGCACATAAATCTTAAGTTCCTAATTAATCATTTTGGAAAGTCAAATGGCTTCAAAAATATGTCTACATAATGGATTGTTGGTATTAGTAGCTTTGGCAATTATTCGTCTGGTCAAAGTTATTTTGAAAAAGCCTATTTTTAAATAGACTCCGATTTCTGCGCTGGGTACACATAGTGTTTGTTAATTTTGATGCGCTGAAGAAGAAAAATTAGTGTGCCCTCAACCTGCGTTAAAATGTCTCTGATGGTCATAAATAAACGGTCTTGGCTTGTCAAAACAGAGTATACACGTTCTTCGGTTAGCTTATCTCTCTTCGGTGCCCACAAGATTTTCAGAAGCAACTTTTGATATCGAAAAAAAGTGACAAGCATGACAAGTGAGTCCGGGTGAAATGTAGAGCTCGATTTTCTAACTGATAGATATTGGTCCTTAGGAAAAAGGACATTCTATAATTTCAATGTCCTTTAAGGAAGGAAACCCATGAATTACCCTAGGAGTTTGATCTAAATTTTGTATCTTAATCAAATCAACTCGCAAAATAAATCAGAAATACATTCAATCTCCGTTAGCAAGGTTCTTCATGCAATTCTTGTAATACAAATATGCAATGATTGGTTCAACCCCGTTATAATATTAATATTTTAGGCTGCCTTGATACATGTAGAATGTCCAGACTATAATTGTCTTAGTTTTATTTTCTTCTCACATTCGCAGTTTTAAAGATTTACCTTTTTATAAGGAACGGAACAGAGTTGCATTTTAGTTAAATCTTATGCTTATGCTTCCTTTCCTTTGCAGTCATTTCTCTGCTGAACTCCTAATGAATCATAAATCATCCTTAGAACAATTAATTCATCGCGATCGCAATCATGTGAGTGTGATAATGTGGTCGATAGCAAATGAACCGCGAACAGCAAAGAATCAATCTGAACCGTACTTTAGGTAATTTGAAAATTTAAATATGAAAAATGTTTCGAATTTCATTCCTCAAAATTAATTTTCGCTTTTGCTAACAGAGAAATAGTAAATTATGTGAAACATTTGGATAACACAAGACCAATAACAGCTGCCATAAATGTGGACATCACCAAAGATAAATTAGGTCAATTTCTGGATATAATCTGCTTTAATCGTTACAATGCCTGGTATCACAATGCGGGCCAGTTGGACATGATAACGAATGTTGTTATAGACGAAGCATATGCTTGGAATAAAGTCTACAAAAAGCCGATAATAATGACCGAGTACGGGGCAGATACTTTGGAAGGTTTACATTTCGTAAGTGTGGTAGCAATTTTTAAGGCATTTTTTTCCAATGATAAATTCAATAATAGTTGCCCACATACATATGGTCAGAAGAATATCAAGCGGCTTTATTTAGCAAGCATTTTAAAGCTTTTGATTTTTTACGTTTGCAAGATTGGTTTATTGGGGAATTCGTTTGGAATTTTGCAGATTTCAAAACCGAACAAAGTAAGTTCCAAGATTTTGCATTATCAAGAAACGCAGACTTTGTAAGCATTTTTTGAATTCACAGCTTTCACACGTGTAGGAGGCAATAAGAAGGGTGTATTTACTCGTAGCCGTCAACCTAAGGCTGCGGCATACGTTTTACGTCAACGTTATTTCGCGCTAGCTTACGAATTGGATCGCTGTCCTATGCCTCATGATGTTTTTCAGTATGTCGTCAGTTGGCGGGACATTAGTTTAGGTCGCAGAGATGAACTGTAAATATTAATACACATGAATATCGAAATGTGCGCACATATCTTGTTTTGTATTGTTAATAAATAAAAATCTTATAATTAGTATTGGTTTTGATTTCAAGACACAGTTACACCTTTTCGTCTTCTGAAGACGGTTCCACAATTTTTAAACATTCATCGGCAAATTCTATGAACAACGGTTCTTGCATAGCTGCTTGCATAGCTTTCCAAGCATTTGGGGCGACATCTATAGCTTTCAGGAAATTTCTCAAATGCGGATTGTAGAGCAAATTCTTTAAACCTTCGCTATGCGCTGTAAACGAAGCTATCCTTAAGCAACACTACATTTGTACGAAGACTTCTACCAAACTTACCCAGTTGCTGTAATTTCTCTGGTGCCACCGTATCTTCCGTGCTGAAAGGTGTATATATTGTTGGCTCATTATCTTCATTTTGGTCTCCTGTCAGAGGTTCACAACTTGGGGTTTCACATGCTCGGCACTCCGTTGAGTTTATATGCTTCTTATAACAACTCAAAGAACAACTAGGAAAAATTGTATTTGTTATTAACACCAATTGACAACACTTTCAACCTTACTATCGTTCCAAGCATTTTCGACATTTGTACTTGTCAGTGGGTTCTCGACAAACAATGCAAATTTGCATTTTTACTTTGTTTTTTTATTACTGCCGCTTAATATGCATTCACTTTGTAGCACGTGAGCATCTGTGAACTGCGATCAACCAAAAACACATATGGAACAAAAGAAAAAAAAAACCGGAATGAAGTAGAAACGAAATTTTAACATATGCAGTACTTCATGAAAGAATAAGTTAAGAACTAAACACACTGTCTATGAATGCATCGTGCCGCCTCGTGCACTCAAATGTTAAAGTATGTTTACATAGGTTTACCTTTACCTTTGTTGTGTGCATTTGCAACAGCAAGCCAAGCAATGATGTTCATGTGAGTACAACAAAATTATATGATTAACTTTTTAGCATCATATGATTTTAAAATGACGTAGAGATGTTGAAAATTGTCATTTAATGCAGCACTTTATTATAAATGGTATTATAGTGATTATTGTTAGCTTGCAAGTAAATTCAACTTTAATAAAAAAGTTTTAAAAGAAGTTTTTCTTATTTTAATGTTTACACAACCACAATCTAAGCATGTGATTAATTTTTCAAGTCCTAAGAAATGTTGCTCCTGGAAAGGAATGGGAGCTTTATATGCATATCTAGCTATTTAGGGTATTGCATCACTGCATGTATTATGTTTTGCCCTTTATACATTCTCTCAACACTGTGTGCAGTATTGCCGCGTCTAAGCAAAATGTACAGAAATAGTGGATGAGTAAGGTAAAATTACGAACAATTACATAATTCTATCAATTTGTCGTGTTATATGTTCATAGCAGCAAAATAGCTTTCGTTTTGTGTTCATTTTGGTTTCTAAGACTTAGTATTGATTGTTGAGAACTGCATTTACGAACGGAAATGCAGCAAATAAGTTTGACCTTATGAAAGGTGATAACATACATAATGGACAAACATTGTACTTCTTCCTCCTCATAAAAGGAGATCTGTATCATCAATTCTTACATATATCACCGGCACTATCATTTATAAATCAAAAAAGTCATCAATTTTAAAAACTTATCTTTCGCTTTAGATTTTTATTTCTCAGCCTCTTGAAGTAAATATATGTTTATACATCAAATCCATAAAACGCTGTTATTACTAGAAATCCTCAGCGGGAGTTTCTCTTTTTTTCCTCAACTCTATTATTACCTGGATCTGGAATAATTTATTCTTCTCGTTTCTTTTTGCTCAATAATTTTAATCTATATATACCCTTCCTGCCCTACTTAGGGTATAAGATATATTAAGGATGTTCGTAACGTGGGCGTACGTAACATCCAGAAAGGTTTGAGATAGACCCACTTTTGTTTAATTTTTAGTATTTTATGGTGAAAATTGATTCTTAGCGCTTAGCGATTAAAATCAGCTGGGCACATAGCTTGCGTTCATTGTTAAAGCAGCACCCGGTATTTTATGCAAAGAGTTTATGTCTCTGCTCTTAGCACAAGTTTCCTTATTTCAAGTCGGATAAGTCATAACCAAACCCTATAGTAATGTCTATTTGAACCGTGTAAAATAGTCGACGAATGGCCGGCTATAAATTTTGTGGTTGAACGAACCGTAGTGACATGTTAGAATGGCTACGCTAACTCGTTTGGTCAAAATGAATAAACTTCTTTTGCACATTATTGCAATATTCAATAATTGTCTTAATTTGTTCACTTTCGCTTAGTTCTTCGATCGTTTCTTTCGTTTACACATTAATTCTGTTATATAAAACAATAAATTGTTCGACCTACGCCGAATAATTTCGTATTTAACGTTTTAAATACCAGTTTATTTAGCTAGTGAGAAATTGAGGACGCACTCTGTTAGCAACAGCATTACCAGATAAAATTTAGTATTAATCGACTACATCCATAGTCTAGACAAGAACCTTACAAATAGCTGCACATTGCAACGGAACTAATGTTTTGATTGAATGAAAAAATATTAAACTGGTTTAATTTATAGCATTGTCTATAGAGGGCGTATGTTAAACTTTGTCTGAAGATTTTGACAGATGTCGCTGTCTATTTCTCCTTTATGTAAATTTAAGCTTAAGGAAAGTCGGTCTTAAGTGTGCACGAGCTAATATTTATTCATTAATTCAAGATTACAAATAATACGCTTTTTATACCCTACACCGCTTGTGGCACAGGATATATTAAGTTAGTGCGGATGTACGTAACACGCAGAAGTGCTTCAGATAGATCCACCTTTTATTATACCGATCGATTTAGAATCGTAATCTAAATTGATCTAAGCCTGTCCGTTCGTCTGTTGTCTGTCCATGTAAAATTGTGTTCAAGCTGCAAGTAGCAATTTTTGAGATATTTTGATGAAATTTGGTAAAGTGACGTAGTGTTATTCGACATATAAAAATCTCATTGAATTTGTACACGAATTGGTTTATTATTTAACAGAAGGTCTGTTATATTGAATACTTTTTCAATTCCATTTGCAATATCACTACAACCTGCAAATCGCTATTTTTGAGATATTTTGACGACATTTGGTATACCAAACCATAGTAATTTAATGTAAAAAATTAATTGTACCAAATTTGTACAGTCTGAACCTATTTTTTGGATCCTAACTTAATAAGGATTTTCACGAAAATTGATCCTTTGTAGAGCATAAAAGTCAAAGTTTTAATATGTGGTGATGAGAATTGATCCATGGGAGTAATTTCATAGAAAAGAATTATGTTAGGCAATGTGGTGTAGGGTATTTCACGATCGTTCTTGCCCGACTGTAATATTCGAAGGCAATAAGCAGTCGGAAATGTGTGTAGGAAAAGATTTGCGTTATTTTCTTGCCGACATATCGAGCACTTTTATGTTACTTATCCGATAGGCTAATCAATGCTGATATCAAAGTTTTAGTCAACATGTCGATATGTAGATGCGTTTTGAATGTGTCTACAAATCATTCAAGTCCTTATTGATGATATTTATCTAAATACGTAACATATGCTGCACGGAAGATTATAAGTTTTTTTGAGATAAATTCCAGCAAATTATTTTAAGTAGAAGCTGCGTGGACCCTGGATTATATGACAATTTTTAAAATTAATGTTTTGTGTGTGAATCATTCATTACAGCAATTAGAAATTTTTGATTAAAAAAAGACATTCATGGAATTTTTTATCCTTCCACTTTTCGTCTTATCGTTATCGAGTTTCTTTATATGAAGTTTTTTCCATTTTTAATACTTTTATTGCCTGCTTTGGTCTTTCATTTACTTCTTTGCAAAGCACTTCTTCATTCTTCCATTATCCTTGTAAAAGGTACATCAAAAGAAAGAGGAAGATATGCAGTTACGTAAACGGAGTATGAAGAAGGAAGCATTTTAAAATTAATTTACATTGATCATGGATTATATCCGGGCAGCTATTATCTTAATGTTTACTCTTGATTTTCATTGCAAGTCTTTCTTGCGGTTGTTTATTGTAACGAATGTGGATTACGGTAGAAAATTTTTTACAAAATAATTTTTTTGTTTTATAAATGCTTTGAATCATCTAGAAAACGTAATAAGTAAAAAAATTATATTCGGCTGCGAGCGAATCTTTTATACCCGGCACCGTTATCCTGAAAACAATAACAAAAAAAAACCAAACAACTAAATATCTATGCTGGGCGTGGTTGAGTCCTTCTATTTCTGTAGATTGAAAGTAAATATGAAAAGTAAGTATCATGGGTCTGAAGCGACCATGAGTACATCTGCCTCAGCAATTAACAGATAATTGGACAAGCGGTCTATCAAGAATTTCTAGAACGCTTCACATTTGATGCTAATAAATTATCTACAAGCTTTACTGTGACGCTGAACCATTTTTTCTGTGTTTTGATGAAAGAATAAAATTTTATTATTCCATAGGGTAAAGCAGGCGTGGGCGATTCCTTCCGTGTCTTATAGGTGCTGCAAAATCATCCATGGAATATAAATACAAAATTACTTCCTGCCTTGTATCTGCTTATGATTTATCAGTAACAAGCAAAAAAAACAAATTTTTTTTTTTTTATGTTTGAAAAGCGAAGTTGTTTCAGGTTATGTTGCACTATGGGAGGCTTTGATCGACTCGGTTTAATATCACTACCAATCTGCGTGCAAGAATTTTCAATCTGTGTCCAAAATTTGAAGATTATCGCTGAACAGACAGACGGACGGAACGACACGATGAAAGAATTTTTTTGTCTTGAAGTTTTGGACTTGCTGAACACACCCGAAAACCCAAACCCATTTCAAAGGTAGCCGTGTGAACAAGTTTCAGAGCAACATTTTATTTGCTGGCTTCTAACTCTTCTAGTGCACTAATGGATGTCTTTTAGAAGGTGTTCATGTTCATTTGAAAACATTTTCGAACAAGAATACGTTTAGTGTAGTTTCGATCAGACGATTGCTGTGCAAACGTCAGGCTGGGAGACATTTTGATATTAATTATGGATTGGCCAATGGAATTTGTTTTTTTTTTTTTTTTTATTTGTAAAAGGTAAAATGTGCGACTCCGTCTTCGGCAGATGCAGTAAAAGCGGCACGCTCTAGCTTAAAATCTTCGAGAGAAGAAAACGACGGAGCGTGTGTAGACATTGCAGGATAGTTTTATGCGCCTGGAATTGCGGACTAATAGAAAAAAAAAGTTTAAAGAGTTAATTACGAGAGAAGAGTATACGTACAACACGCTGTAAGCGTTTTAAAGCCTCTTTCGCGGCACACGCTTTGTCCAAAAGTTCTTTAATATAATCCCTAGGATTTTCATTTTATGTCATTTTAATTTTTTAGAATATCTTTAAGGTTAAGTAAGGACAATTTTTTTTCAAATTTATTTAAAAATTGATTTTTAATAAAAGTTTGCCTTTTTTGCCGAATTTTTTCGTTCAAATATTTGCGAGTTGCACAAAAATACTACATGTTCCTCTACCTGTAGAGACATGTAAATCAAAAGCATTTTTTTTTATATGTAAACTCTGGACTGTAAACCCTGTACTGTGGACTCTATTAAAGTAAACATGCCCACGCGAGGCTGGTTTTTGGTGTTGGAATTTTTTTTTTTACTATTTCTCAAAATCTTTTTTTTTTTCTTTTTAAAT